TTTTTTTTTTTTCATTATTGAGGTTGAATACCTTGTACAGCAAAATGTAATCCCACCATTCTGCAATCTACTCTCAGTAAAGGATTCTCAAGTGGTACAGGTGGTGCTGGATGGTCTGAAAAACATCCTGATAATGGCTGGTGATGAGGCTAGTACAATAGCTGAAATTATCGAAGAGTGTGGAGGTAAGTGCTTATTAGGCTTTTAAAAAATTTAATTTGCTGGATATTGTTCTGTCTTCCCCTTGTTGCTGTTGATATTTACTACAGCATTTTTTTACCATTGGCTATTTGAATAAGCAAGTGAGACTTTCATAATGAGAGAAGTGACTTTTTTTTCCTGTTTAGATCAGTTTGGAGATGGTCATGTTGGAGGCAATTGTTGAAGCTTTCTGTAGCTTAGGTATTCGTTAGGTTTAAATGAGAATTATAGTTCTTTTCATTTGATCATTTGCATACACTTTATTCTGTAGTAAAACACACAGTTCTCGCTTTAGTTCATTGCCTTGGAAGCAGTTTTTAGGATCATAATTTCATTACCGACCAAAGCAGGAGTCTTCATCTTTTGGATATTGCAATCCAAGTTTTAACACATGCTAATTAATGTATTATAGTAAGACAGCAATAAAAGGGTGTTGAAGAATGTACTACGCTGGAAGTTTTTCCCTTGTATTATTCCATATCCAGTTAGAAAATGGGTCTAATGTTTTAAGCTGCTCTTGGTGTGAGGCTTTGTCACCTTGTTTTAAACTGGTATGCAACACACAAATGTAGCCACTTCCTTTTGATGATATACAGAAAGCACCATGACTGAAACAAAAGCTGTGTAGTATACAGAGAAGCCTTAAAATTAAATACAGAGAGTTTTATCTAAAAAGAGAGAAGATTCCACTTTCCCTTGTTCGTAAAATGAGATATTCAGGTTCACAAACTACTTTTCTTTCTTCTTGAAGACAAAGATAGCTGCTGTGTAGATAATATTTGCAAACTGAGCTACTTCTTTTCTAGTATGTTCTCTAGTAATGTTTCATTATTTTTCTTTTTTTTTTTTGAAGTATTAGTAACTCCACTGTAAACTTATAAAACTTCTCCATTTTCTTTTATTAAGGGTTAGAGAAAATTGAAGCCTTGCAACAGCATGAGAATGAAGACATTTATAAACTAGCATTTGAAATCATAGATCAGTATTTCTCTGGTGACGATGTAAGTATGCTAAAGATTGAAGAGTATGTGCGCTGTGCTGTTTGCGTAGTAAGTCCATTGTCATTGTTCCTCAGTTCCAATTGTCATGAACATAGGTTATCTGGGAAGATGCGTTTCCTGCTCCCTTTTCAGCACCACTTCCCTCAATTGAAAGTCTTTGAAGATTTTCTCAATACCAAGAATTTTCTTTGGCAACATCAAGATGACGACTGGTTTCGCCTAATAAATTGATTGACGATGACCTAATTTTGTCACACTGACATCTAAATCAACACGTAATTAATTGTGATTAGAATCTAAACAGTTCTCTGGCTCTCCTCTTTACTTTCTCGTGCATCAGTTTTTAGAGTGAGGAGTGGATCCTTACTGTCAGGTGGATTACTGTATTTCAGCTCTGTAGTTGCTCAGTCTAGATTGTGCATTGAAAAGAGTCATCAAAACTGTAACACTTTCTGCAACTGATTGATCTAGACTATCTGATATTTTGTTGCACTGTTATTAGATATTTTGACCCTTTGGGTTCTAGCTCTTGCTGCTACTGGCTACTTGTGAGTGCCTCGGAAGCACTTCAACATCAATTTGAAGACAAATAATGATTACCTTTTTTAGGCCAGCCAGGGTGTCTGTAAGTTCTACAGCCTAGCAGAACTATGTCTTCAGATCTTCTCTTAAATTGAACTCTCCAAATACCAGCTCTAACTTTAAGACTCGTTATATTTTCAATTCATGGGTTCTTCATGTGATCGGAGTTAGTCACCAAAGTAAGACATGTGAAAAGTTCCCTGTGCTTGTAATGACTCTGTGAGCAGGGTCTAATAGTCTCCATAATGACTCTGAGACTTGTGTAGCTAACTGAAGAGCGCAGCCTAGTTGGTGCAGGTGGAAAAATATCCCTTTCGAGGTTGGTACTCCCTTCTGTGCATTTACTTTTTACATAAACTAATGCAATTTAATCTATGTCTGATTTACTGAATTTACCTCCTTTACTTAAGACCAAAACTTGACTTAAGATTATCGTTTATACTGTTACCGTGTTTTCTGGGGCTTCTGAAACTCAAAATTGTAGAAATTCCATAATTGGGAGATAGGAGTTAAAACACAGAACCAGACAAATTTTCAGGCAATAACTCTTAGTAGGAGGATGACCCTTGTCATTTGAGGACTGGTAAGACTGGTTATGTTGGCCTGCTTGGCAGTATTAAGATTGACTGCCCAGGAGCACTTTTGCTGCTTCAGGATCTTCTGTATTCTCAGGAGATGTTGCTGGCTACTACATATCCCTTCATTGTTAACCCCATCTGCTCCTTTGCTGAGCCCTATAAAGCGCACAGACATGTCCTTTCGGACCAGCACTAATGGCTCTCTGACTTTGGTTTGTTGTGTTAAAGGCGTGTGAACTTAGGTCATGTTACTTTTTAGTACCCCTGCAGAAAGCAGAAGTGCTAATTTATCAAAGCACAAATGTTTTGGCAAAACTGAAACCAGCACTCTGAAACCAGATTCAGTCTTCATTTGGGCATGATGTCTCCCACTCTCCATCCTGAGGATTGTTCCTCTTACTGAAGGCCTTAATCTCTCCCTCCAATTTAGGTATTGTCACCTAAAGTAAAGAGAAACAAAGATTTGGGGTGAGTCAGTTCTGACGTCCGCACTGCTCCAAGGCAGAAAGCTATTTAGACCCCCCGCACGAGGGCTCTTCCCTGCCTCAGAATGACACACGGTTTAAAACGAGGCATATGGTTCCCGCAGCCTGGTTTGTAGAGGTGGTGTGCTCAGAGAACAGATGCAGCAGATGATTTGGAGGGAGATGGGTAGGGTTTGACGTTGTGCGTATTGATGCTACTGACCATGTTATTTGCTGTTCCTAGTGGCAGTAAATACCTAAATTCTAACACATCTGAGGAATTTGGGTAAAGTTGGGTAGTTTTGTCTTTCGTTGTATATCCATAGAGTAATGAAATACTTTTGGTTTAAAAAAAAAATCAGATGGTGCTTATGAGAGCTATATAAAACTGGTCTGAAATGAGTAATTCTAAATCTTTCAGATTTCTAGTAGGAGATACTGAGTACTCTTTAAACTTTATATAATTATTTCTGTCAGCTGCCGATAAAAAAATACTTTTGTGTTGAAAGAAAACAGGAGAAAGTACAAAACTAATTTTGGAATTCACAGCTAATGATTAGCCAACTCCAGAAGTATTAAAAATTGGCGTTGAAAATTAAATTGCACCGCTAAAATAGCAACTCCTTTGACCATGCAGCAACCCAGTCTCTAACCATTACAATTTTCTGTTTCCCTAATGGTACTAGAACAGAGGTGATGTGTTGTTCTTTTTAAATATGTTTGAGGAAATGAATTGGAAAAACTGATCTAATTTTGTTGCAATAAAATATTAAAAACCAGAAAATATGAACATTTGTGAATCTCTTCTATGTGTACTGAATTGTGCAGGGAATTGGCCTCTCATGTATTTTTGTTGTTGTATTTTATAGATCGATGAAGATCCCAATCTCATTCCTGAAGCCACTCAAGGAGGTACTTACAACTTTGACCCGACGGCCAACCTTCAAACAAAAGAATTTAATTTTTAAGTTGAAAAAAGTGCAGCTTCTCTGTCCCACACCAGAATGAAGCACCACCAGATGGCTACCAAGTGAAGAAACAAAAGGCTCCAAGACACACATGCCTCTTCGTTTTGATGCTTCTAAAGCAAGCCATGTATCGGTCACTTTGCAGTTGCCAAACGTCACTATCACATGGACTGTAAATGCATATGCATGATCTCTTAAACTGTTTCAGAATTCTTTTTAACAGTCCCAACTACCTTTTTTTGCCTTTTTCCTGGTGCCACATGCTGACAACCGCAACCTGCAGTTTTGTTAAGAATATTCCATAGTGGTGGCACATTGGCTTTCCACGGAAAAGTAGCTTCTTTGGAAAATGGTGCGCTGTGGATCAAGACACTTTGGTATGATGCGTACATTTTGGAAGACTTTACAAGGGCCCAGTTTGCTCTGAGCCTCCATCATCGTCCTCCACAAACATATTTTCATATACTTTATGTGGAAGAATAGATTCAAAAATGCAAGCCAAATGAATTTCATTGGTGAAACTGAAATAAAAGTAACTTAAAAATAAAAACAAACACTTGGCAATTGATTAAACACTTAAGTTTAAAACAAACAAAAAAACTACTTCAGCTATAAGTAATTGATGTGTGTTCATTAACTGCCTCAGAAACCAGGGTTGGAGAATGAACTGTAGATTTGGACTGGTAAAGCTTTTGCCATTATACCTAATTTTTGAGAACAGCGAGCCCTATTTGACCACTCACTTCAGCCTGTGTGTTCCTGCTGTTTTGAAGTAATCAAATGCTGTGCATGGTATTTTACCTGAGCTACAACCTGTTATGGACTTGAACTTCTGT